CTTCTAATGAAATAGAAAACTCCACATCGTTTATTTGATTAAAATACATGTATGTAAATACATGATGCAAGACAAGTTCAAGCATTTAATCACCTTCCCACATAAGTTCAAGAAACTTTTAGATTTCCTAAATAACTCCAATTTTCACCAATTTCACTTTTTAATAACAGACATTATTTTGCAAATAGTAAAAGCAATAATAAACTACTTCACAAAAGTATAACAAAAAAAAAGTAATTATTCCTACACGTAATTGTTATTATATCATCTTATTCCTTAATATATTTCAAAAAATATTTTTATAGTCAAATAACTAATGGTGTGTTGGCCTGATTTCCATATACAAAACTGATTCCAGAATGCTTACGTGGAAGTAGGCAAAAAAAAAAAAGGTTCTTTCTCATAATATAATGATGTGTTTATTATTTTGTTTAATTTTTGCAAATTAACTTGAGTGCTATCTATACTAGCTGTCCTTGATTCTGAAGTTTTAGACTGGAAGGAAGGCAGTTGGTTAACAAAGACCCACTGCTAACTCTTGGGCTACTCTTTAACAATGAATAGTTGGATTGAATTTCACATAATAATGCCCTCACAAATGAAAGAGAAAGCATGTTTAGTGAATGGGCTTTGTTCCTGCAACCCATGGATTGCAAATCAAATGCCCTAAGTACTAAGCCATGTTTATTATTATGCTGATGAAATCTGTTGGTGATTTCAATCATTCCACATGGACAGAAGAGACAGGCATGTTTAATACAAACAATCATATTCTATCTTGCATGTAAAAAGTGAAATTTTAAAAATTTCAGTAGCTATATAAAACATTTACAAGTATTGTATTCATAAAACTTTTAAATACTGACTTGTTTTAAAATGTAAAGTGGAAAAAAACAACTAAAACAATTAATAAATGGGAAAGAAATATTTACAAACTCATAATTTAAACACAATAAATTCAATAAATTTTTTTTTCTGAAATTTTCATTCTACAACAAAGACAAAATTCTGAAAAGTGATTTGATCTTTCCTTTATATCAGTGGTTTCCAAACATTTACAGGTTAGGTACTTTTTTTAGAATTGAGGAAACTCTCATAATCCTCTATCTTTACCATATACCACAATCTTTGCCATTATTGATATATATATATTTTTTTTTCTATCTCTTCATGATTAACTGCATATCCCTTGGAAACAGCTTTAGGAAAAAGCAAAATATTACAATTGTTCTGAATAGTTTCTATAGTTATTCAGCAATAAAGAGAGATAACTAAGAGACAAATACTGTTATATGAATTCTTGTCTTTTAAATTAGAAAAGTAGCATTTTATCAACAAGTTTCTTATTATCACATTTCAAAATTTAAAACAAAATATAAAAAATGCAGTACAAATTTATAGGAAGAATAGGCAGCAATTCAATGAAAAAATACACACTTTGTAAAAAACAATTCAAACTAAATGTTTTAAATGTGAAAACAGTGATTATGACAGCAATGTGACTCTAAAACTGCTCAATTCCACTTCAAGACATGATTGTTCTTCCTGGTATACAAATATTTTTACAATGGTTTAAACCAATAAATTGTAAGTGACATTACACAGTTTTTCATATTTTAAACATATTTACAGTCCCAAGTAACTAAGCTAACTGGGTTGGATGGATACTGTGGAAAATACTATTAATAAAATTTAGTTAAATACCCTTCCTAATATACTACAGTTGTTTATGTCATATGTCAAAGAATTATACAATTGGTTTATAAGATACATGTACATTTATAAACTTATCTTAAACACTGTCATACAAAGTTCAAAAAAGAAAAAAATGTATTACCAAATTAATGGTAATAAAATGGAGATAATAATTTGGTTTATTCTTCCACTGAAGAATAAAATTCAGTTTAAAATCTTTTGCACAAGAAAGCATTTTGGTATGGTAAATACTAGAATCTGCAACACCTTCAAATTAGTTTAAATTAAACTATAAACTTGTTCAGGTGAGTCAAGTTTTCTGAATGTAAGTTGTACTATATTCTTTCTTTAATGTTATGTTCAGTGACAGTGTTCTTTGGAATGTTTAATATATCTAATTTTTATTGTTTGTTTAATTTATTATTATTATTATTGTATTTATATTAAAGAAATTACTTTGCTTTGTTAGCTAATTATGTGAATTTAGGACTAACCTAAATCTATGCTTGCTGAACCTCACAAGATATTATTGGGACTATGACTGAAACTATTGCTAGCAGTGAGGGTACTGAAATTAATAAAACAATGTATTCTAATCAATGTAAGTAAGAACATAAAAATAGTATAAACAATTAGATATTTTCATTAGTGAGTTGATTTTTAGTTCAGATCTATGTAGGTGGCTTGCTTTGATAAGTTGATATTACTTATAAAAACAAATCCATCAACTCAAGTTATCTGGAAAGCCTTTTCTGCCTATAAGATTGCTTTAAAGCCACAGTCATAAGCCAACATTTCAGAAGTTACTCAGTAACCTCCATTCTCCAGTACTAGATAATTTCCTATGTAACAGATACCAACCTCTCAAAATGCTTAAAACTGCAAGGGATCATTTCAAAACATATTCCATAATGCCTCAAAATAACAATATCTTTCTAAATCTTATGCCTATAACTTTAAAACCTAGGCTTACAAGCTTCTTTTGATATATATGCATGTTTGAGAGAATAACTAACATAAAAAATGCTTTAAATAAAAAAAAAGGCAATTTGTTGTAACACACAACAAAGTATAGGTATACTTGGGTAACAAATAAAATAATGATCAAGTATTCCTTTAATCCTAGGTGCACAGATTGGGGGCAAAGTGTGCATTCCATGACCTTTTATACAGTACTATTCAACATGGTATGTATTTTATGTCAGAGCTATCAACTATTCATTTTACCCTATATTACTGATTTGGTGATAGTTTGTGGTAGAGGAGAGTAAATGTCAGATACAATATAAAGAAATACTGAGAAAACTGTAGAGACACAATTCAGAGGTTTTAGAGATTATGCAAATGCAATAAGCACATTACTATGGACAAAGTATTTTTATTCTTTACATGAATATCACCTTGTACTCTGACTATCATCAATTCAGAGACCTTTGTAATAACATCTGATTTTTTGTGTACAGCAGATTTGTACATTTTGCTAAAAACTTGCCACATTTTTTTGTAAATACAAATAGTAAATTCAGAATCATAGTCAACATTCCTTGTCTAATATGTGGTTAGTCCATTGGACTGACCCTGTGCATATTTGGTTAAAACAAACATATGTTAGATAAAGTTAAGATCTGCTATTATGGAACAAGTTTTGAGAATGTGAAATTTCCTCTTCAGACTAACTTTTTTTTTTTTATTTGTAAGAGAAACACATATACAGCTTATTTTATAACAAAAGTTCTAAATTGCTTCAGGGCATAAGACATCAGAAAGGGGTTCAACTTAAAGTGACCTTCATAGGTGTTAGAAATATGGCAATTTTTAAGTTAGCAAACTTTCCATAATTCTTTTTTTGACATAATTTCCAGTTTTATACATTATTTTGTCCATTTTCCAGCTCACTTGATGATCAAGAAATTGTTCTTAACCTGAAACAACTCTGTACTTCCAAGATAAAGAGCAGGGTATCTATATAGCGTCATGCCAACCCTGCAAAAAAGGTTATGTTGGTGAAATGGGAAGAAAGATACAAGACTCATACAACAGAAAAATGATGTTAAAGACGGTCAAACAAATAATGCTGTATTTTCTACACCTGAAAAAGTTTGATTATCAATTCATCTAAAAATCAGCCAAAATAATACATGAAACTAGAAATTATGTCAAAAAAGAAGAACTGTGGAAAGTTTGTTAATCTAAAGACTACCATAATTTCAACACCTCTGAATGTCAGTTTAGGATGAACTTCTTTCTGACATTTTATGGCCTGAAGCAACTTGGAACATCTGTTATAAAATAAGCTGTATATGTGTTTCTTTCACAAACAAAACTTGGACTGAAGAAGACATGTTACAAAGTTGAAACTTGTTTTCATTTAAACTTGCTGTTCTGTATTAGTGGATCTAAACTATATTTTAGCTTACTTTACATGGTATTGTGTTTGTATTTACGTAATATATGTATATATATACTGTACATTTTTTAATGCAAGAAAATGCTGTCTCTTGGAAAAAAAATTATGCTGTATAGTATACATTGTAATAACAAAAAAATAAATAAATACATTTATCATGATTGTCAAAACTGTTAAAGTAAATTCATAATGCTACATAGAGGTTTTAATGTTAACTTTTTTTTACAGGTAAATATGTAATCTTCACAAGCAAAATATAAACAGTACCATAAATTTGGGAAGGCAATAAATCATTTTTTTTCTTTCAAAACTAACTTTTGTATAACAGATTCAAGAAGAACCAGGCATTTCAGACAACATTTACAGAGATTCTATGAAATCTCCAAATTGAATGCAAAAACAATTCTGTGCATTTGGTAACATGGAAAATGAATGTAGAAAAGTAACTCAAGCCAAGAATAATACATTTTACTCACACAATAGCTAAGAAATAAGTTACACAGTTAATATTTTCAATACATTTTGTTATCATATTCTACAAACAATCCTTTCTACACTAAACTTCTACTAAGAATATTTATTTTATCAATAAATCTTTAATGATGATTTTGCATTGAATTATCTTGAAGTATTATTAACATATAAATCTTGTATTTCTACGATTATATTTTTTACTTCAATGGATATATATTACGTTAAAGTTAAAGCAACAGATATTTAAGTAAATTTGTTTTATTAAAAGTTAGAAACAACTACTTACTTTAGCACAAAAAAAAATAATAAATAAATGGAAGGTAGAAAAAGGTTATATGTGACAATCTTCATTGTCAGCAATATATTTTCATAATTTATTCATTTATAAACTATTATAATGGAAAAATGATATTGGTTTGTTCTTATATGAATATCAACAAGATATTGTACTAATATATAATATGAAAAGTTAGCTCTTTAAAGTCTAGGTCTGTTTTATAACCAAAATTATTTATAGATGTATTAAGATTATACTAAATTTTAATAAAATTCTTGAGCATAATTCAAAATTTTCCCATGCATGTAAATCTTTTGAAACCTGCAAAAATTGAGTTTCTCCGAATCAGAAAATTGAAAGTATTATTAAAAGTGCTTCTGGCTACAACCATTTTCAAATTTGATTCCTTATTATCTGATGTTTAAGATGTTAACAGTTACTTACATTTATTTTATTGTTAAATAATAGAAAAGTTTAATGAGGAAAAATATTGAAATTTTATTTCTAAAACCTTGTAATCACTCACTACTCTCTAGAAAAGGTCAAAGTGGATGCCCTCAGACTTTTCAGTCTGTATGCAAGATATTAGAAAGAGTTGAAGACTATAAAAAACAGAAAAGTTATGCATTAAATCATTCTTTTTTGTTATTTTAAACATTTTTTTATTCCGCCATAATCTCCACGCTTTATAAAGATGTTATCTATTCTCATAGTTTAATAATTTACCCACTCATGACACTACATTTAAAAAGAATGAACCATTTTCTACTCAAAGAAACCTAGTGAAGTTCTCATTTACATCTCCAGGAAACTACCTACTACAGTGACTGAAGCTAACTCTTTACAGAAACTAGTTTGAACTTGTTTCTATTCTTTATTTCAAAATACTAAAATAACTTTATTTGCATACTAGTTGAAAATCATTTGTATTCTACATAACTTTATTGTTGAACTCCCGTAACTTATTTACCCAATAATTTGCCATATTTCAAAGTTGATTCTCTGATAGGTAGATGAAGCTGTAGTGGGTCTCTTAGCCTCTTCAGGTCCTCTTCTTTCTCATATATGCTATCACGTAAGGAATTATACTTTTCCATGTCCAAACCACTTTTTTTAGCTTTTTTATAAAAATTTAATAAAAATTGTCGATCTTTCACTTCAGGCAGGTAGTATTCCTGTTTAAAAAATATCCAAGTCACAAAAAATTGTATTCTACACCAATGTTTAATTAAATGTAAAAAATAAAATATGATGATTAAAATGATAATATACCAAATGTGAACTATTTCTATAAGTAATTTTTGAAAAGTTTAGTAATTTTATGTTTAATGTTTTGAAAAATAGGAATAGACACAATAAACATAATGATGCACAAAAGAGTTTATAAGGATCAATATAATTGTAGCCTTAACTTGTATAAAGTTTAACTCCACTAATCTGCTATTTTAATCAAGTTTTGAGTCTTACTTTTGTTTCCTTGTTTATTTACCTTTTACCACAACTTGACAGCTACAAGGTATCTTACTCTTAATTTGTCTCAGCCTGTTGACAGGTAATACACACACTAATGACAAAGTATAGCATGTTTGTAAAAAAGTCATGTAACTCTTTGCTTTATAGTTTCCATAATGCTAACAATACTGCAAACAGATTAATGCCAAAGTAACCCAAAATGCTTCTTTTAAACCTTTTGCAATGGTTTCTAGACAGCTCGTCATCCATTTAAGCTTACATTATTCAGATTGTGACTGCCCAAGTTACATCCTGGAGAATTTAACTTTTACAGTTATGGAGGTATACGATGTTTATAACATAAACTGCAGGCTATTAAGGTCTCATCTCCTGTATCAGTCATCCTTTAAACATGCCCTATTTCTTTCTAGCAAGACTGGTCTTCCAATATAGGGAAGCTAAGGCATTTGTTGCTGCAGAATTTGTATTCTATGATAATGTACTGCTGTTTTTACTCTATGAAATGAGTATATATATATATATCTGGAATTTTCTTTATAATGCTAATGGCTACTTGACACATCACTACCTGAAATATGGATAAATGTAATACTAAAGCAATTCAAGACGATAAACAAACTCCTCTTTGACAACATTTTCTATCAATACAGAGGGTTTTTATTGTTCAGACATTTTGTTTTAATTTAATGCTTGTCTTGGTTAGAAAATGGACTAAACGGGCACGATACTTTGTACTACGCTGTCATGCATAACACTCGTATGTCTACCAGTAATAATTTGTGTTTTGTACATTGTAATTTCATTGAATGTATTTAAAACATACCTGTTTTGATAATACAAAATATGCATACATAGCTATGGATGTTCCATAAGTAATGAAATAAGTAACCGGTTCCATGATATCCCATGAATATTCCCACCAAGTCAGCCGAGCCAAGACACCAAACTGAGCTCCCATGAGGCCTAGTCCAATCCATGTTAACACAGATGTTCTTCGATAAGATGCTGCTTCAAGTTCAGCCTTTTTCTAAAAGAAAAATATCATGTTTATGTAGTGGGATATCACATTCCAAATATATATATATATATATATACAATTTTCATTTACTATCTTTTCTGAAGAGAGCACCAACAAATCTCTAAGTGAATAATGTCAGAAATATTTTGTAGTAGTACTGCTACCTGTTCTCTAATTTTCAGCATTGTAGCAAAACAGCAAGTGGCAATTAAAGATAAGACATTAAAACAACATTAACAGGAACACAGATAACTGTGCTATGAGAAAGAAGTCCTTTCTATTAAGTTCTTCTCTAGTTTTACACAAATAGTGTCTTGTAACACATTGGCTGCCCTGATATTATGTAACACTTTCTTTACTTATTTTTAAGAGAAGGGCAACAAGTGGAGAGGTATAACATGTAAAAAAACAAATAAATAAATATAAAATAGAACTGCAAAAGAATGACTATAGTCATTATAGTTTTTTTTACATGAAGCAAGTAATTTGTTATTATTGTTACAATGGTATTGTTTGTTGTTATTTAGTGCAATGCAGGCTGAATTGGTTATATTCGTGCAGATCGAATTTGTCACAGTGGTAGTGGTGTGTTCTTTTGTTCAATGCACAAATTGCTTCTGTTATCCTTATGAATAAATGAATTGCAACATACACATTTTATGTAGCTCAATACAATGCAAGTATAAGTTTTGAAGCAATATACAGGGGTTGGACAAAATAATGGAAACACCTTGGAAAATCAACAAAATATATTTTAATA